AAATTAGGGACGGCTAGCGCAGATAGCCCTCGTGTAGCTTTGCGCGAAATTCCAAAAACAAAAAACAAACAAACTTTTGCAAAAAAAAATGAAGTTCATAAAGGGAAAGTTTATGTCATTTCTGATGAGGCTATAGAACTACTGCTGTTTAGCATCATTTCTGATGAGGCTATAGAACTACTGCAGTTTAACATTAGATAGAATGAAAGTGTGGGTCGATGTCATAACTAAGTATATCAAATTACAAGGAAATATGGTAACTATTTTCTGCTTTCGTATTAAAAGAAGAAGAAGAAATGAGTGTATACCTATTGCAGATTGGTTACCAAGTGCCTTAAAAATGTGGTTAAAACCAAGAAACACTTGGAACAGGGCCACAATAAATCCAGCTATGCCTTCCAATTGCTATACACAAACAGCTGCAGTAGGCGAGGGAGTTAAACACTCACATGACACTTTCAGATAACTGGCGACCCTTACGAAGCTCTTTCCACTAAGTTATAAGTGAAATGATATTAGTTGACTTCCATGGTCTTTCCTTGCTCCTTGACTGGTGTCAAGCTCTGTATTCAGCCAAATGACTCAAAATAACCATTGGATCCGCGTTAGTAATATGCATTTTATTCACTTGCACCCAGGAAACTTCGTTATCTAGTATGTTTTAGCAGATGTGTGTCGGAATAAGGATGTTCGGTAACATATATACAAAAAAGGACCTGTCTCACAATAGACCGAACAGTCAAACTTGTTATCTGTGGTATAATCTCCATCTTCTCCAAGGTCAGGATTTACGAGAAAAAAAAACAATAGCGAAACTTGGCGGCCAAAAAAAATGAGGGAGGGAGAAAATATAAATAAGTGAGGTTAAAGGATAAGGAGAGAGAAAATATAAGTGAGGTTCAAGAATAAGGAGGGAGAAAATATAAGTGAGGTTGAAGGATAAGGAAAGAGAAAATATAAGTGAGGTTCAAGAATAAGGAGGGAGAAAATATAAGTGAGGTTGAAGGATAAGGAGGGAGAAAATATAAGTGAGGTTCAAGGATAAGGAGGGAGAAAATATAAGTACATTAAATACAAGGATCAAAAGTAGAAGAATCAATGAAAACAATGTCTCAAAGTGAGACTAAGAGAGAGAGTAGCGATTCAGTGATTTGTGAAGACTGTGATTATTAGTAATTCGAATCACTTATCTTTTGTTATAATTGTTTAGAAATACTAAAAAAATATACAATAGATAAACAAAGAGCACTCTCGAATAAAAAAGAAACACTATTATTATCATTTTTTCTATGCTTTAAAATTTTGTATAAAGCAAAGTTCCCCACTAAGGAAGCTACAAGTAATAAATAATTGTATAATATTGACATTATTGTAACTAGCGATATTGTTGGTGTTAGTTTAACAATTACTCTGAATTAGAAAAGAGACTTTTTAAAAACAGTTTTACAGAAAATTAATTTCTTTCTTCTAAAGTTGGCATCCACGCTCCCATAATAGTCATATATCATATGCATAAACAGCGTAATGAAACATAATATGTCTAGGTTAACCGTTATTACTATTAAAAGAATGAAAATGGAGTTTATCCATCAAATTCCAAAGAAAATAGTAACAAAAGTGCTGTTAAAGTGGCCGCTAAGTAGCATGAATGATCATAACTAACCACAAATGTGGTAACTCTGAAAGGTAACACTGACATCTGATAATTGTCAAAACAAGTGTGATGTAATTAATCTATATTTGAAAAACTAGCTGGAGTACCTGTCCCCTGGACGGAAGTTATGTGCATTCAGGATTAATAAAAGGTTGTCTTAGGACATGAAAAGTTGCTTCCCTTATATGTAATTGTAAAAAACGCCCGTAAAAACTGCAAAACACAAAACTTTGCGTGTATTTCTGCATGAACCCAACAAACCTTCATGCCAAATTTGGTGAAGGTCCATCAACAGGGGGCGAAGTAGTAGTGAAAAACGCAGAAACGTCCATAAAAGCCACAAAATGGAAAACTGAAAATTTATATGTACCCATGCATGGACCTAATGAACCTCCATACCAATTTTGGTGAAGATTCATATACACCCTGCAAAGTAGTTACACGGACAGACAACAAACAGAACTATTATATTTATATAGATTATATTTATTGTAAACATGTTTTTTGACAATAAAACTTCTCTAATATTATAAGTTTGGAATTTTAGTGTTGCCGTATCTTAGCAATAATATTACAGGTTCTGATTATTATCTACGTGATATGACTTGAGCTCCAGAAAAACAATTTATTTTACTATCGTTCAGACTAATGTTTCTTCAGGGTAGAGCGTTTAAATTAACAGCAACACACCTAGTAGGTTTTTGCAGTAAAATGCTTTAAATATTACCTATAAGAATGGGTAAGCCTAAAAAAATGAAAATGAACAGTCTTACTTGTAAAATGTGGTCTTTACTCCAGCATTTAGTTCAATACATAAAAACTAATGTTAGTCTTCCAAGGCATGATTATCCTGTAACTGCTTTGTACAGCGTATTTAATATTTATAGGAATTCAACAAACTGTTTGTAAACGTTTGCAAGCTATATTTAAAAGCAGTAACGTATTTTACAGAAACAAATATTTGACATTATTATTATTATTAACAGTCGAAAAGCTAGAAAAATTAACTTGTGATTGATAAATAAATCAACCAAAAGATATAAACTCGAATTAGATTGTTTGAATAAATTTTGATATGAATATCCTACAATAAAATGTTTCTACGAAAATGTTGTCTCAATAATTGCAGTATCTAAGTCACGTAAAATTATTTAATATCAAAATTCGTGAGAGTTTCTATCATCATCACTAATTTTATTTATTGATATACCGAAAATTTTATTTGAAAGGGCGTTTAATTTTATTTGAAAGGGTGTTTAATTTTATTTGTTGATATACCGAAGATTCTATTTGAAAGGGCGTTTAATTTTATTTATTTATTGTTATACCGAAAATTTTATTTGAAAGGGCGTTTAATTTTATTTATTGATATACCGAAAATTTTATTTGAAAGGGCGTTTAATTTTATTTATTGATATACCGAAAATTTTATTTGAAAGGGCGTTTAATTTTATTTATTGATATACCGAAAATTTTATAAGAAAGGGCAGCTGGTTAATTTTAACAGTACTTATATAAATAATAACAAATCTGATTGTAATTGAATTTATGTAATTTGGTAATTGCTTATAAATACACTAATTCGGATAATGTGATACGTTTAGATTTCTTAAAGGCTATAATTTGTTAGTTATTTAAAATACATTTGAAGAGTTCAGTTCAAATAAAATTTGTACACACATATATATTCCTTTCAAGTAAAACAAAAATCCTATGCTACTTTATCTATATATCGTCAAGTTATTTAGTTTTATGTTTAAATTGATAAAACGACAAGTCTAAAGAATAAGACTTTAAAATCATATTTTTTAACCTTTGAGTAACTTCCTTCAAGATGATTT